GGGGGGGCGCTTAATAGTTTTTTTTTCTCTCAACCATCAGGGAGTAAACATTTTTGGTCACTTCACATGCTGTTTGTTCAACAAAGACCACCAGGGAACAAGAAAGACGAACCGATGCTCGGTTATTATTTCAATTACTATTATTGGACGCGGCCTATTTACAAAACAAAACTATTAAGTGTGGATTGTGGAAACAACATACATAGACTGGTATTTTCAGTTAAATCACACACACACACACACACACACACACACACACACACACACACACACACACACACACACACACACACACACACACACACACACACACTAGCCTCGGGGCTTACAGATCAGTTTCCATTATAATATTGTCTTTGTTATTTCCATTGCAATTGCTGCAGTAATGCTGTTGAGCTGATGTTGAGGGAGTTGATTTGAGCCGAAACTATTGAAATGACCAACTGTCCAAGACAAGCACCTGTCCAAACGACCACTTCAAACTTCTCTCTTGGATTTTTATTTTCGATATATTATTATAGTGACACTGTCCAAGAGAACCACCTGTCTAAGAAATAAGTCTTTGTTGACAGATTCTACTGTACTAAACTCGGCGTAAAATAATGATACGTCTGTTTTGCGGGTGGAGTACCAGAGCTAACCTGGGCTAAAACGTTTACAATATACATGTCCTATCAGAAAGACGGGAGATACGCGATTAAAAAAAAAAAATCTCCCCACACAGGAAACGAACTCCCGTCTTTTGTCAGCAACGACAAAACGCCTGACCACTACACCACAGACGCCAGTACGTTCAACTTTGCGTCTGCTTATTTCGCTTCTTTTTGTCTTACTTAATCTGCTTCAACGTTAAAATAAGGCTGCTAACGTACTCGGTCGCATTCAATTACAGCGAAACAACTCAGGAACACACACCAGAGAGAGACACTGTCAAAGCAAAGAGAGCCCGTATCGGTGTTTGCTGTCGTTCGTTGTTGTTGTTTTTTTCCTGATAGCCGACACGAGGATTTCCCCTTCTGGTACTCGTCTCGGGCCGCTCACTCGCTCACTCGATCTTATCGATTCTCTCTGGAACCGGACACAAAAAACCCTAACGGTTTAAACTGTCTAATCGTAGGCCCGTGGGCGAAACCGGCTGCTATTTTCAGCCCACAAAATCACAGCTTGTCCGCGCGAGACTAGACAGTAAGCTGTGATCGGAGAAATGTCACCGTGTGCCCAGCAACAAAACATACAGGCGGACTGGTTCATCATTCAGACACTGGCAGGCGGGAATGTTTCGGACAAGGCGTCACAGCTGTTGTTGTTGTTGTTGTTGAGACGAAATCTTTGGGGAATGAGCCCAATAACGGCTGCACATCTCCAAGAACTAGCTAGGACATTTGCCAAACTAAAAAAGAAGTAGAGAGAGCACACCATAAATCAACGCCCAAGAACTTATGCTGGAGACAAACGAGCCGCGGACCAGCCTAGGACAACATGGAGGAAAAAAGTAGACGGTGAACTTACAAGTGGCCAGCCTCTAATTACCCGCAGACAAAAAAAAGAGACAAACTGATGGACAAACGGACCGACAGACGGGCTTACAGACACACATGGCAGACAGAGAGAGAGACAGGCATACAGATAGACTGTTCGATGGATAGATGGGAGAGAGAAGCCAGAGAGGGGGGGCAGAGAATATATATATA